AAAAATTATTTTATTTTAAAGATATGGGGTACAAGTTAGGATTAGGTACATAAATAGTCTGGGCAGGTGAAGTTTAGGTCTCCAACTGGTCCTCACTTCCCCTAGTTTAGGATCAGGTACCCTCAGTGATGTTATGTGCCTCCTCTACCCCCACCCTCCCCCACCCCTGCAGTGTCCTGCTACTGCTGATTGACATAGGGAGGGAACTGATGGCAGCCGGTCAGTACAAAGCTCTCTTTAGCCAAATAGATGCAAGGAGAGATTATACACTCCCAGCGTGGGCAAGGGAGCAGGACACAAACAAAGCAGAAACAAAGATATTGACTCAGTAACTGCTTTGAGTTCACAGATGTACATATTTTCAAAGGACACAGATGGCCTTAGCCAGGGGGACCATTCTCCCGGTGGAGAAATGGGCATCAGCAGGGGAGGGAGAGCGAGGCATCCGTCCTGCATTTACCCCACAGTGAGTATGATCACTGGAGAGGCCAGAGAGAGTCAAATTGCTCTGGGCAAGCGGAGATTTAGAGAATTTAGATAGGAAGGAGGAGCCAGATGCAAAGAAGCACCTGGCAGAGGGTTAACTAGTATGCAGAACTGAATTTGCCATCATGAGATTATCTGTTGCTGGGATAGTCTTAGAAATGGGGGCCAACAGCCAGACAATTCGAGTTCTATATTTGAAAAGGTGTGCAATCCTGTTCCTTGGGAGGCTGAAGTGAGTGAACTGCCTGAGCCCGTGGGTTTGAGACCTGCCTGGGCAACTTGGCGAGATCTCATCTCTACAATAAATCAAAAATGAGCCGGGCGTGGTAGCACACGCCTGTAGTTCCAGCTACTTGGAAGGCTGAGGCAGAAGGATCGCCGGAGCCCAGCAGGTTGAGGCTGCAGTGGCCGGGAGCAGCCACTGCACTCCAGTCTGGGCAGCAGTGTGAGACTCCAACTCAAAAAAAAAAAAGAAAAGAAAAGAAAAGGTGTGCAAATCAATCAGGAAGCAAAGAAATCCACACAAGTGGCAAGGCAACCCAATTGTCTGTTCATCAAAACAAAAGAGGTCGAGGTTGCAGTGAGCTGCAGTCACGCCACTGCACTCCATTCAGAGTGACAGACCCCCACCTCTAAAATAAATGCATACATAAAATGAAAATTAGATAATGAGGTAATTTGAACCTTAAAAGTGGTTGTGGAACTACTTCTTTAAAAAATATAGACTTGGTTGGGCTCGGTGGCTCAGCCTGTAATTCCAGCACTTTGGGAGGCCGATGTGAATAGATTGCCTGAGCCCGCAGGTTTGAGACCCGCCCAGGCAACTTGGTGATACTTCATCTCTACAATAAATCAAAAATCAGCCAGGCATGGTAGCGCGCACCTGTAGTTCCAGCTACTTGAAAGGCTGAGGCAGAAGGATAGCCAGAGCCCAGCAGGGCGAGGCTGCAGTGGCCAGGAGTGTGCCACTGCACTCCAGTCTGGGTGACAGTGAGACTCCAACTCAAAAAAATAATAGATAGATAGATAGATAGATAGATAGATAGATAGATAGATAGATAGATAGTCTTGAACTTTCTATTGCCACAGCAACTATTTTATTTTATTTTATTTTATTTTCAGAGATAGGGTCTCACTCTGTTGCCTGGGCTGGAGTGCAGTAGCCTGATCATAGCCCACTGCAGCCTTGACCTCCTGGGCACAACAATTTTAAAAGGGAAAGAGGGAAACTGGGGACCCAGAAATTCCCTGGACATATCCAGTCAAAGAGTTCAAGTCCTGGCCAGAAATCGGACTGCCAGGCAGTCTCAATCTCAGGGCTGCTAATCCCAACCTGTTTGGGGCAGTGGCTTGAAAAAGTAAACCCATTTCTTAAGAGAAAGTATCTTCTCAGGAAAGTTTAGAATCAAATACAAAGCAGATAAAGTAAATCAAACCAACTGTATAATCCTTTGTGTTAAATTAGGAATAATATGTGTCTTTTTTTTTTTCTGAGTCAGAGTCTCACTCTGTCACCCAAGCTGGAGTGCAGTGGCACACTGCTCACGGCCACCACAGCCTCGACCTGCTGGGTTCAGGCAAACCTTCTGTCTCAGCCTTCCAAGCAGCTAGAACTACAGGCATGTGCCACCATGCCCAGCTAGTTTTCTTATTTATTGTAGAGACGAGGTCTCACCATGTTGCCCAGGCATATCCCGAACCCATGGGCTCAGGCAATCCTCTCACCTCAAACTCCCAAAGTGCTGGGATTATAGGCATGAGCCACTGTGCCAAGCTAATCTGTGTCTTTTTGTATTTTTTTTTTTTTGAATTGGAGTCTCACTCTGTCGCCCAAACTGGAGTGCAGTGGCCGCTCCCGGCCACCGCAGCCTCAACCTACTGGGCTCCGGCGATCCTTCCACCTCAGCCTTCTGAGTAGCCGGAATTACAGGCATGCACTACCACGCCCGGCTGATT